ATATATATAGTCAAGCCTGCTTTGACGGCCACCTCTATATTTTAAAAAAGTATATAAGACGGCCACCTGTACAAACGGCCACCTGTACAAACGGCCACTTTCCATTTCCCCCTTGCGTTTTTTTCTATATGATTTAACTGTGTAAAACGGGCACCTGTCCAACGAGGCCGCGGCCACCATATTTTAACACACAACCCCTATCACACTAAGCAATACCACCATTAACACCTATCTTAGACGGCCACCTTAGTGACTCCATTACGTTTTGTCATAAATTGTGCATTGACCCCTGGCGTTGTGGGCGAGACGTCATAATTCAATCTCCTGTCGTTGTTGTTAGGTAGTCCCTCCAACCGATCATGCTGCGTAGGCCCCTCCCACTGTTGACCAATAGCTATCAATTTTCAGCTGCTGGTGAGGAAGCGTGTGATCCCTCATAACCCATAAGCCCTGCCCTGAACTCATACGTAAATCGTAAGTGAGATGAGAGGTCACTGTTTACCCAGTCTGTAACAAAGTAACAAAGGACGTTAACATGAACTTGTGACCAGGGGCGGCTCGTGGGTCTTAAAAGTGGGCGTGCACAATGAACTTAAAGCAGGTTGAAGATAGTCAAGGGCAAGGTAAATGAGACGTATTCTTCATCCTACCTATTAAGAGAAAATCTGTTTAAAGAAAAAGTCTACCCCTCGTTCTCTTGCTGCAGCTAAGGCGTCCATTATTCAAATATTCTGTTGACGAAATTGCAGATGCTGTAAATGATGTCCTTGTGGATCGACATACACGTCAGGGCGATTTTTAGGATTTTGCATCTTCTCTAAATGTTGTGTCGAGTTTGTAATCCTTCAGAGTTGAATAAAGGCCCTGGATTGTACGACGCTGAGCAAACTTACATGTTTCATTGCAATATAATATTTCTGATTCTGTTTGTGACACGATTTTATGCAAACAGAGTAGCTTTCTATTGTACGATCCAAAAGCACTGTAGGAAATGACTTTTGACAGTATTGGAACTTGGAGGGGTCGACGATTGATAGGGTATTGATTTCATTTTGCTTATAGAAACGGTCAACAATAAGATAATCTATTATGCCTCATGCCTTCTTTTCAGCAATTTCATGGTGTTTTGATATATGCGTCTTCTCAGGGGTCTTACTTGTTGGTGGAACACTTATTCTGTTTTTAATTTCCTCAAAGACAGCTTTAAACGTTTCTAGAGCTTGTTGGGCTGATACTTCTGTGTTGGAGGATCCCATACACAATGTCAACATGCGTGAACAATTTGTTTTAAAAAGTGCAAAAAGAAGAGAAATGTATCGCTCTTTAATACATTCAAGAGACCTCACGCTTCGTGGGTGGTATTATCGTTACATTGCTCAGACTGAATTTCTTCAAGACAGAACTGGATCTGTCCTTTCCAAGTGAAGACTGTGCTAATAATAAGTCGAGATTGAAAATCCCACCATGTTTCAGACGGCTGTGGAATATACCGGTGACAAACGCGTCTGAGAACGCCGATGCATTTTGTAGAGGGGGCAAAAAATTCCGAAAAGCCTAGTGGGCACCCCATAGCGAAAATTATCCTGCAGTCCGAAATGCCCTGAACAAGCGTGCTTTAAAATTAAAAGAAAATTCAGCTGGTACGCATAGCAATGAATAAAGACAGCATAAGGGAAAAACATTGGCGCACCTGAGTCTGCACACCAGAGACTCTCCCGCATTATTACAGCTGCCCCATCGCAGGTTGGGAGATCAGCTTCTCATCGACGATGAATGGTTCTAAAGCTTCGTTTGGGGTTGAAACGAGCCCTGATGAAGCTATATCTCTGGCTTCATAAAGACTTTAGAAACTCCTCTACCTGTTTTCCGTCCTTAATAATATACCTTACCTCAGAATCATCACAAACTGTGACAAATGACCAGCATGAGTTGCTTTGTCAGCCGGAAGAGAAAAAAAGTTGGCAGAGCGTTTGTCTTTATTCACTTCTTAGTGGTATATTATATTTTGAAAATACAGTCCAGCAGTTCATTTTGCATTATTTTGGAAATATATTTTGCAACAGTAGCGCTCTGCGGATGATCAAACAGTGTCTGGTCAGTGTTAACGTCTCTGTACCGTAAATCAAGAAATATACCTCTGTTCCCCGACAAATCGCCTTTTTCATGACCGTGAAAGGCGAGTACGTGAATTCCATAGAACAAAATGCACTCGATAACCTTGCACAATACGTGCTTGTTCGTTCTCACCCGTTCGTTATAGTGAGATGTTGCAATGCGATGACCAACGTTTAGCCGCGCTGCTGGTATTTCTATTAATCTGAAAGTGCGATACTTAACGGCATTGTTGATGTGCGTTCAATTGGTGAGTCGTGTTTTTAATGCTTTGTTTCACGTGGAAAAGATCAGTAAAACCTATCTTAGTACGTACCTTTGGGTTGGTCAGGACTTTATAATTCTTTCACTCTCCTTGACACTTTGGATTAGAGAATTGAGTTCATTTACATAAAAAAAAAATAACTTCATTAATTCTGCAAGGAATTACACACTCAAGTAATAAAACTTTCACCACTACACCATTCCAAGTAGGCTTTTTTTTTTAACACAGTGACCTAAATACATCATGTTGACCTCGCTCAAGTTCAGGGTTTCAGAGGTGGGGCTAGAGATATAATGGCAAGACAATTGACCAATCGCACATTACTGTGAGCACTCCGGTGGAGTGCTCCGAAGCTATCATAATACGAGCATTGAATTGTGTAATGTATCGATCGTGAACTGGTCTGAGATCGTGTTATTTTTAGAGTGCCTCTATGAGCTTTGTTCGGCTTGTGCACATTGGGATTGTGCCGCCTTATTAGTATTTATGCACTACGAAACTCACTCTAAAGTTCATTGTTGTTTGGGTCAGCTCATAGAGCATTTTTCGAGTTAGATTACCACCACTGAACGTGCTATTTATTACTTGGGTGAAGCACGAGGACTTGCTATGGTATAGTAGATGTTGTAGAGTGCTACAGATGCACTAATGACGGATTAGGCTCTGGCGAGGAACTGGTATAGAAAATTGATTGGATAGAGGTTATTCAAGGTTCTTTTATTGTCTCTTTGTGTGCGTTGTGCTCAATGGGCGA